CCACCCAACACACATGCACAGATGCCTGCCATGAGCCACGGCAGAGTTCCGGAGGTCAAGGATACAGGGCAACCGACACAGACTCGGTCCTAACTGTCCTCCCCACAGACTCCTCTCTGCCTGGCCAGCTCTCACCCGGGCTCTGCTCACGGGTCCTCAGAGGCTGGTGCTCAGTTCCAACGTCACCTTGGGAGAGGCCTTCCCTGGTTACACTAAAGTAACGTCCTCCTTCCTCCCCTAGTCTGTGCTGCCATGTGTTTGCTGTCTGATTTTTTACCTACAAAGAAAGCCCCATGAGGGCAGGGACTGTGCCTGCCTTGTTTATTTCCTTCATCCCCAGAGCTTACAAGGGCGCCGGGCAGAGAAGCCTCCCCTAACTATATGCTGAATGAAAAAACTTTCCTGTTTTTCGTCTCTTTCCCTCCTGCACAGTGCTGGCAAAATTATCTTTCCAAAACAACAAATCCTGGACCAACTTGCAATGCCTGAGAACTTCTGTGGCTCTTAGTTGTGTATTGCTTGTGAAATTCCCACCTCTTCACTTTGTATTCAGTGCCCTGCCCAACACCGGCCTAACCTCTTCTCCAAAATACCAGAGAGGCAGTGAATTTAAATGGTTAAGAGTGTGGGCTAAGATTCCAGCTCCACCACCTACTAATCTACCAAACAACTGACCTGAGACAGATTTGGGCCTTGGTTTTCTCACCCGTTAAATGGCGACAATAATAGAGCACCCAATCAGAGGGTTGTGGTGAGGATTAAGCTAGTTATTAGATCAAAAGTATTCAGAGTCATTCCTGGTACACAATAAAAAATGCGACTTTCTCCTGCCATAAGCCATGGATCTGAGTCACGTCAATCTGCTCCTTCTTCCCTAAACAAGCCATGCTTTTCACACTCCCCTGCCTTTTCCACATGGGCTGTTTTTTAAATCTACCACTGACTCATCATGGCTGTATACGTTTATTAATGTGCAGTTCTTTACAGCAGAAACTGTAGCTTTAGTTCTTCATATGTTATGGTACGCTGATTCACTTGATAAATATTCAACCAGGATCATTACCTAAAATTAGTCATTTTAATAGTTTGTACTTCCATAAGAATGTTCAAGGTGGCCCTTTAAAGTTCATTTGGTTTTCTTTTTGTTTACTTAAATGCTGACTTCTAAGAATAACTGAAGGATCAGAAAGTTTTCTCCTCCCCAATTTTGCAGGCTCTCATTATCCACCTACTCCTTTCTCACCATCATTTATAACAATAATGCCATAAATACTGACCCCAGGGCAGTTAAAGTGATCCTTAAATACTGCATAAAATATAGGGGTTATTATTACTACCAGCAATACTGACAGATCTTGCCTCTGCCAGTAATTACTGGCAGGAACGTGTCCAATAACACGGAGACACTGTTTTCTCTGTGTCCCTCCCGACCCTGCCTGGGAGAAATGTTGAATTTCACAGGTTAGGGACAACATATTCTCTCTCTCAACTGGAACCAGGTGGAAAATAAATGTCTAAGTTGGAAATAAAAGTACATTGGTGGGTAATTTGAAGTCTGGAATATTCTGAGGGCTTGGGAGGTTTAGGTAGTTTGCCCAAGGGATAGAATCTGATCAATTCAAGGATACTGGGTTCTCAGAAGCCTAAGAAAGGCAGGTAGAAAAGCTTGCCTTTCAACACATCGCCTGGGGCAAGTCTCATACCTATGAAGGACACATGCCTGCAGGGCCTAGATCCTTCCCCATGTGCACTCTCCTCGTATAGTTCCATCATATTATAGGCTAGGTAACCATTAATTATACTGTGTCCTGGCTGAGGAACAACCATCATATACAGTGTTGTTTCAATGGGAAAATATATCCCCAGTCTAAACAACTGGCTTACAGAAGACTTTCTGGAAAATGTCTCATTCATAAGGTAGGGACTACACAGTGTTGGAAGTAGTCCCCCTGGAGAGGATTGGCAAGTATTGTGTCCTAAGTTTTGCGGGAAAAAGAAGCCAACCTCTTTGAAATGAGTAATGTAGGCTACTTGGCCAAATTCTCAGGTCCAAATCTGGGTTAAGCAATCACAAATAACAGGAAGCAGCAAGGTGAGGAACGGAAGTGACCGGAGGCTGAGGGGCTGGAGTCAGACACAGCGAGGTGCGAGACCCGGCTGTGGGGAGCAGCCCGCTTCCTCTGCCAGCTCTTCCCCCAACAGCCCAGGGCCGGCTCCTTGTCACTATTTCCACCTACGCTCCGTATCACCACCTCAGACTGCCTTCCCGGGCTACCCACTGTGAGACAGCCTTACTCTCAGCCTGATATATTTTCTTCTCTTCATGGCACTTAGTGCGATCTCAAACTGCCTTATTGCTTCTTTACTGCCTGCCTCTCCCTAAAAGACCAGAAACTCCACGAGGAGTTTCACTCGCGTCACGCTTGCTAGTGAGCACCCAGGCCTAGCACAGTGTGTGCCACAGGGAAGACACACAACACAACACACATTTGTTGAACAAACAGGGCTGTAGTACGAGGATTCAGTAATGGAATAAAGGAATAAATGATCCATCCACCTACCTACACATCTATCTACCTACTTACTGACCTCCTTATCTGTGTCTGGAACAGTGTCTCTATACAGCAGCCCTTAATAAATATTATAGAAGAAGCGAAACAGAGGATGATACTGCTATGAATCAGCAAGTGTTTACTGAACAACAGGAGAAACCAGGAGCATAAGACACAGCCCTTCCAGGAGGCAGAGCAAAACTCAGCTCAAGACTGAGAGCAGCCTGAGTGCCGACTTAAAGTCTGCAAAGAGGTGGGAGCAGTGATAAGATTCGATAAATGTCTTTAGTCAGTGTTCTGAATTTACAGAGAACTGGAATCCACCTAACACTATGCTGATCTTGACAACGTGGGCAGAGCAGAGAACGGCTCTGCATCTTCTCCCACAGAAGTCGACAAAAGGCTTCTCGTCCCCGCTGTCTCACAGGGGAGCGTGGGGAGGGAGGTACCCAGAGGCCCTCCCCACATGTTCACCCTGGAGGCAGCCACGCCACGCTTGCTCCCCTGCCTTTGCCATGAGAAGCTGGAAGCAACCAAGACCAAGGTTATGCCACCTCCTTTCTCGGCCGTGTTGCAATGACAGCTGTGGTCACAGCACACACATTTTGGAAAAAAGACTGAAGAACAAGACCTTTCAGGTCTCTTTCAGCATTGCGTTTCCATGAAATCTTATCTGTACAGGGATTCAGAAAATGAGTCAACTGCCTTTGCAATTTTTTTTTTTTTTTTTTTTTTTTTTGCAGTACGTGGGCCTCTCACTGCGTGGCCTCTCCCGTTGCGGAGCACAGGCTCCGGACGCGCAGGCTCAGCGGCCATGGCTCACGGGCCCAGCCACTCCAAGGCATGTGGGATCTTCCCGGACCGGGGCACGAACCCGTGTCCCCTGCATCGGCAGGCGGACGCTCAACCACTGCGCCACCAGGGAAGCCCGCTTTGCAATTTTTTGAGTACAGAGTTCTTTGACTCATACTTAAAAGTTGGGAAAGACGATATTTATTTAAGATAGTGGTTTTCAAACTATTTTTTAGGTAGCAGGCTACTTTTCTGTAAACGGAGTTTTACATGGACCCTTAACACATTAAAAAGATCAGTGGGGTGCGGTGAGGGGTCGGGATCCGCCCTCTCAGCCTCCCCTGTGCCCTGACATCTCTGAGGAGCACAACTGGTTTAAGGGGAAAGGAAGTTAATATTTAGATAAATAAAGAGATGACTGGGGAAGGAGGGCAAGCTTTCTTTAACGTGAGGAAAGACGGAGTGGGCAAGTCTCCACTTTGTGCCCATCACAGTAAAGACTGGCTCAAGCAAGGACCATCAGTGGAAACTCACACTAGGAGGGCAAGTTTAGTAAGAAGCAGCGTATTTGCCTCACCTTCAAATGTCTCCCCAGAGTTCGCTTAGAAAGGAGAAAACGCTGCTTGTCAGGGCATCAACATCACTGGTCTGTAGACTTCAAATGTGTGAATGTCATGCAAGACAAAGGAAGGCTGAGGAAACATTACAAATTAAAAGATAAAAGAGACATGGTGGCATCCGGAGACTGCGGCATCCGGAGCCTGTGCTCTGCAATGGGAGAGGCCACAACAGTGAGAGGCCCGCGTACCACCAAAAAAAAAAAAAAAGAGACATGGCATCGAAGTACAATATATGATCCTTGACTGGATCATGTACTTGAAGGAAAAAAACAGTATAAAGGACATTATTGGGACAACTGACAACATCTGGAATAAGGATCAGCAATTTGACAGAAGTCCTATATTGATGTTAAATTTCCTGAATTTGGTGACTGTACTCTGGTTATGTAAGAGAATGTCCTTGTTCTTAGGAAACACGTACTGAAGAATCTGGCCTAGAGGGGACGCGATATCTGTGACCTACTCTCTAGTAGTTCAGAAAAAATATATATAATATGGCGCATTTACACATACAGAGGGAGCAGTGGTTCTCAAAGTGGGATCCCTGGAGGAGCACCAGGCATCACCTGGAACTTGCTTGATATACAGATTCTCGGGCCCCAGCCCAGACCTCGCAAGTCAGCTGTCTTGTCTGTTCTAACAAGCCCTCCAGAGGATTCAGCTGCCCAGTAGCTTTGGAAAACCACGGATACAGAGTGATAAAACAAGTGTGGCGAAACATTTCTGGGGAAAGGGCACATGGCAGTTTTCTGGATCATTACTGAAACTTCTCTGTACCTTTGAAATTGTTTCAAAATAAAATTGAACAATAACAACAACAAAAAGGTGACCCTATGTAGAGAAGTGGAAAGGAAGAGACCCTGGGGGCAAGGAGGCAAATCAAAGAACTCCTGCCTCGACCTTCAAAGAGGTGGTGGGATTCGAGCCTCGGCTGCTGCAGCTCCAGTGCAGGGCGAGGGGCGGGGTGTCTGGCCTGCACGGTCTTCCAACAGCGAATCTCCTTCCTGTAGAAAGTACAGGCATGAAACCTACTGACCTGAATATGAGAGTCTGGCAATCTCTATAAACAGGTCTTCCTCAGAAAAGCTTTCGGGGAGCATGAGGAAAGCAGCAGTCACGGCACTCTTCAGATTTTTATCCAGGGCCGACCTGAGAGCGACGTTCTCATTCATTGCTACGATTTTCACCTGGAAAAAGCAGAACATTCAGAAGAAAAATTCCAGAAGTGGAGTACTGCCCAATCTATGTGTTTATACATACACTGGAACTGTCCTAAACACTTAGCCCTGATGATCTTTGAGTTAGGCCAGTTGACATGAAATATTTATTATTCTAATAAGCAATTCCAGGGTCTCCTGTTTTAAGCCCAAATCAGAGAACTCGTGACATAGGAAAGAAAAACAAATATTGTTCTTAAATGAGGAAATTCAACATGAGTTTTGAAAAAGAAGTCAGCACAAAATGGAATAAATGACCTTTGGGAAATTTAGTATTTTTTTATTTTTTAATCTCACTGTTCTTCACTTAATTTTATGGTGGAAAAAGGCATTTTACTTCTTTATTTAGAACTCACCTCTGTTCTTAACCATACATAACCTAAGCAGGTCATGCTCTACTTTGAACTGATTTTGAATGTGACTAAGGAAAAGGGAAAGAAAATTAGCTACAGTAGAATCTGCTGTCTTTGACTTCTCCCAATCCATCAAGATACAAATTGCTCCAGTGTGTTCAGATTGGTTTTAAAGACTGCACTGCAGTTCAGAGAATGTCTTCAAGTCCTAGCTCCATCTCTTACTAGCTCTTTGACTATGGGCATCATTCCTTATCAGTAAAACAGGGTTAATAACCGAACCAAGCTTATAAGGTTGCTGGGAAGATTAAATGAGATGTTTCATCTGAAGCCGCAGCTGAAGTGAGATTCCTTGTGTGTTTCTTGTTGCACACGCAAGCGTCTTTGTGAGCCAGGGGTTCTCACCTTTAGTAAGCGTCAGAATCTCCTGCAGGGCTTGTTAAAATACATATTATGGGACTTTCCTGAGGGCGCAGTACTTAAGAATCTGCCTACCAATGCAAGGGACATGGGTTTGATCCCTGGTCCGGGAAGATCCCACATGCCACGGAGCAACTAAGCCTGTGTGCCACAAATACTGAGCCTGCGCTCCAGAGCCCGCATGCCGCAACTATTGAAGCCCGCGCGCCTAGAGCCCGTGCTCCACAACGAGAAGCCACCGCAATGAGAGGCCTGTGCACCACAACTAGAGAAAGCCCATGCGCAGCAACAAAGACCCAACGCAGCCAAAAATACCCCCACATATTATTAGGCCCATCCTCCAGTGTTTCTGACTCAGTAGGCCTGGCTGGGGCCTGAAAATGTACATTTCTAACAGGTTCCCAGGTAACGTTGATGCTGCTGGCCCAGGGTCCACATTTTGAGAACCACTGCTCTAAGGCGTATAATTACTTTGAACTAGAATTGCCAAATCGCTCTTTGTAGCGATTGTGCCAATTTGCAACTCCTGACATAATCTTAAACTATCATGTTGCTTCTGACTGATTTTCTCAACAGGTGAAGGATCTAGAAATCCCTAAGGACACCCATGTATCTGAAATGTAACCACCATCTCTAACTCATTTAGTGCTGTCATCACATTTTTCTCGTGTTCTAGAAAGTAGGGCTTAAATTGCCTTTTATTTATCAAATATAGATAATTTCTGACAAAATTCAGATGGCACATAAAAGACACATACAGTATGAGAAACTCCAAACTAAAGTTTTATTAGATAGCAAGGAAAGACAGGAATGATGTATATCCCCAAGTATAGTTTCTTCTCTAATTTTTTTTATTAATTGTGAAAAGCAATATTAGAAAACATAACTATTTTATAAATCTGGCTTAAGAACCTAAAATCTGTCTTTTACCTTTTGTCCCTACTTTTTTTTAAGGGGATATTTATAACGTACAAACGTCTCGTGTGGTAGGTAAGCCACTTAATTCCATACTACCACCTCCTCCCTCATAATTACAAGGGCTTAATGGCCCTAAATTAAGGCTTGCAGCACTTGGGTGAGTTCAGTATTATTGCAAACATCTGCAGATAGTCAAAGCAAGAAGCAGTCCAGGAGCATGATCTGCCCAAGGTTGCATAATGAGTTGATGGCAAAAATCAGGGTAACACCCTTGTACTTGGCAAATCCAGATCTAAATATTTTGAGTTATCCTCATGCATTCTGTTCTTGTTAACTTTTAATCTTGAAAGATGATTAAAACAAAATTTAAGGTCCTATTATAATTCCTATGTCTATTCCTTGAAAAACGTTCCCTCCTTATACTCCATACAGAGTCAAGGATCTAGGAGGGCAACCTCCTCATCTCACTAACGGGGAAACTGAGGCCCAGAGGGTTAAAAGATCTCCCCACGAGGAACAGTGGCACACCATACCAGGACCCAGGATTCGTGAAGTGAGCCTGTGAAGCCTGTTTACTTCCAAATTCCTATTTTCATCCTCATTCACCAGGTCCTGCTCAATAATTCCTCACCCTCTTCTGTGTGTGTGTGTGTGGGGGGGGGAACTTTTTATAGAAACTCAATGAAAATAGAAGTGATTTTGAGATACTAACAAAGATGCAAAGGAAAAAGTTTGGGGAAATTTTCCTTTTCAATAAAATACCCTTGTTCTCCAAGAAAGTGTCTACGTGAGGTTGTTAAAAAAAAAAGGCAGTCTGTTTGCTACTTAAGGTTAAGAGAGTGAAAATAAAATCATCCTTACTCAAAGGAAAAATGTCAGTTCAGAAGACTCTGCTACTGTGCTGATCTGGTTCTCCAGTGTAAGGTGAACTAGCAACTTGTCTCAGAAGCACTGTTATTTGTTGTTCAGAGTGAAAAGCCAGTGAACCCTTGGGACACTGCCAGAGAGGCCTGGGAAAAAAAGAAAGTCCTCAGATTTGTGAATAGCTGTTTGTATCTTACTGGGAATGCCCCGAACTGAACCACAGATATAGCATTAGCACTACTGCCAAGGGGAAAATCTTTACTGGAGAGAGGAAGGGGCAACACTTGAAGGGACTTTCAAAAGCCCAACTTGAGAGATTTGTGAGTACCTTTCAAGATAGAAAAAAAGAGAAAGTCACATGTGGTCTCCTCTATAATAGTCACATGGAGACAGAGCTTGAGTTGCAAAGAGTGAAGTTACAGTCACAAAGGACACAGTCCTACCTCGTGTTCAAATACTCGACCATTAAACAAATGACACTTCCCGCAGTAGTTTTCCATTCCAAATGAACAGAAAGGCTAATTTTTGCTGGAGGACCAAAAAGAAACAGTGAACATTTGAGCTGAATTAAAAAAAACCTTACCATCTACCTGTTGGATTGTGGGCTCTTGAGGCTAGCAATGTGGTGATTTTTTAAAAAAAATTCTTTTGGCATGCACAGAGAAAAAAACTTAGTTGTCTTTTGAATAAGTAAATGAATGGCTTAATCTTTTCATTTCCAAGGCTAGAAGTCCAGAGATTTGCTCTCAGCCGGGCAGAGCCAAGACTAGTAAGCTGGGCTTTCCAAGTCCCATTCAGGGACCTTTTATACCGCTGGGATTTTACTATCTACAAAAAAGTAAATCAACAAAGTTACAATACGGTGATGCTTGCAAACTGTGAATATACTAACCACCACTGAATTGTACACTTTAAAGGGCTGAATTATATGCTATGTGACTATATCTCAGTAAACCTGTTATGAAAAGCTGTATGACTAGCAAGTAAAAGAGAAAATATATTGGAATGAATACATTAAAATAAATTAAAATCCTCTTAACAAGGTGGCAAAATACCATTGCTTGCCAATGTGAATGCTTTAAAAATTCAAGCCATGTTATCTATACATGAAATACAAAACAACGTGAAATACAAAAATCCAACTTACATTAAATAAATTACAGAAGTGAAAATACTACTTTACACTTCTGACTTAAAAAAAGATTGGCCACAACAAGGTTCTATTAAATACTTTTCTTGTTTCTTGACTTGGAAAACTGACTGGTAAATAACTCAAACTTAAAGCTGCACTAGAAGTAAAAATGGGTTATCTCCTCAATTATGAGGTAAGGTAATGGTAAAGTCTGATAGAAATTTAATTTGCACTCAACTTCTTCCAGAAATGTCCATCTTTTTAAGCCAAGTACTCCTTTATATATTTTTTTGATAGTAAACTTTATGTTTTAGAGCAGGTTAAGGTCCACAGCAAAACCAAACGGAAAGTACAGAGAGTTCCCATATATCCTCTGCATACTCCTTTTAAAGACTTAAATTGCTAGTGACTGAGAAATTCTACTCTATTTGCAATATGGAAGATAATTTTAGAGCTTTAGACAATATAATTTAATGTAACTCGTTTTAAAACACATAAAAACAAAAAATTCACACTCATTCTCACAATTCTTTCTTAAGATAGTCACCCATTATTTTTGTCCAAAATGCTACCAACCCTTTCTTTTCATCTGATTTGTTTCATGGAGTTTGATTAATATTTGCTGCCACCTAGAGGTAAAAATAGTTTAAAGATAGTTATCCTAAGAATTCTCCAGTTAACCGTGATTTCTGCGGCAAAGGGAAACTGGAGGCAGGTGTGGGTGGAAGAGTTAATTCACCCATTTATGATTTTTGATTTTTTAAAATCGTGTCATGTTCAACACCTCAAATGGTTTTTAAGATTGTTTAATTTTCTTGTGCTAGAAGCTTCTTAATAAGTCGGAGGGGCAGTCACTGTTATAAAGAACATTTTCTTCTCCAACTTAGCTGAGAAATGCAGTTTTGTATGATAAGTGTATCTGTCACTACTTGCCTTGAATTGATGTTTTAATCTTTTTAGGATACATGACATTTAGATGAAATGTGAGGTCATTTCCAGTGTTTACATTCTGAGATTTCATGGCATTATAGTTTTCTACAGCCTATTTCTAAAAAAACTTGAACTATTCCAAGCACAAAACATAGTACAGAGAATAATATCACATTCAATATCTCATTTTATCTCAAAATAACTCTGAGACAGGCGAGGACAGAGAGAAGAGAAAGATTGTTTCCTGAGTGTCTAGTAGATGCCAGACATTTTAGATCTAGGCATTTCTCAAACACCTTTTGAGGTCGGTGTCACTGGCCTTGTCCCCAGGTGAGGGTGTCACAAGGCCCAGGGAGATTAAGTCACTGGTGCAGGGTCACACAGCTGGGGAGTGTCACAGCTGGGACCCAAACCCCAGATCTGTCTGATTCTAAAACACCTGTGTCCTTTCCAGCATTACCATTCTGCTTCCAATTTTCAACACCTTTGTGAAGTAGGCAGGGCAAGGATTGCTACTCCCATTCTACAGAGAAACTACCTGAGGTCCAGAAAGGTAAAACAACTTGCCTAAGATCACATAAACAGCTAATAAGTAGCAGGAATGAATAAGGCCCAAGGCTTCTAATTCCACGTTTATTAATCTTCCCATCAAACTACATATTTTGTATATTTAAAAAGAAACTTGGAAAGAAAAGGAATATTTACAAATTTCCAATTACATTTATTTGCTTAATTATGAGGCTCACTAGTTATCCAGCCTAGAAATGAGAAATTCATCTACATAAATATGAAATTAAATCAGTAACCTATTGTTTCCAGACTTAAAATGTGTTTTTAGTGAAGTAAAAATTATATACTGTAAAGCAAAGAAATCTAATCAGCACGGCTTGACAAATTTTTACACATGGATGTACCCATGTAACTATCACCCTGATCAAATGCTTCTGTATGTCTTAATGATCTACACTGTTAAATTTTAAGCCCAGATACAAGGCAAGAGAATCTGAACCTCCCACATATATCAACAGAGATTTTATGACACAACCAAGCAAGCTAGGACTGTATAAATTTCTCTAATTTCTTGCCAGAGCTGACAAAAAAGGAGCAGCATAGTCACCCATGAGAGGCATTTGGGAATAATTCCTGAACCCTCTTTGGGACCTAAGACCCTCTGACAGCACAGAGAAAATTCTTCCTTGCTGGGAGATTAGCAACTGTCTAGTTATCCTAAGAATTCTCCAGTTAGCCGTGATTTCTGCGGGAAAGGGAAACTGGAGGCAGTCGCAGACAACTGCGACTAGTTCTTTTTTTTTTTTTAATTTTATTTTTTAAATTTTTTTGGCTGCACTGGGTCTTAGTTGTGGCACGTGGGATCCTCACTGCGGCATGCAGGATCTTTCATTGCAGTGTGCAGGCTTCTCTCTAGTTGTGGCATGCGGGTTTTCTCTCTCTAGTTGTGGAGCGTGGGCTCCAGAGCGTGTGGACTCTGTAGTTTGCAGCACGCTGGCTCTCTTGTTGAGGCGCGCGAGCTCAAAAGTTGTGGCACGTGGGCTTAGTTGCCCTGCGGCATGTGGGATCTTAGTTCCCCGATCAGGGATCGAACCTGAGCCCCCTTCATTGGAAGGCGAATTCTTTACCACTGGACCACCAGGGAAGTCCTCAAATAGTTCTTAAACTACGAAAATACCCCCTCTCAGAAAACAGACTATAAACTGGAAAAAAGAGGAAACCTGATATTTGTGAATGCGAGTCAAAAGTTCAAGTCCTCTCGACTTTTTTCCTGTTTTCTGTTTGTTTCCATGTCTAGTAAAGCCGGAGAAGCCTGCCCCTACAGCCTCCTCCAGCAACGTCCCAAATGAGGGTAGGGCCTGAGGAGGAGAATAAAGGGGAACAGAGTCCACTAGCCTCAGAATGATGACCTGCCTCATTCATTTATTCAACAAACACTTGCTGAATGCGTACTACAAGCCAGGCATCGTCCCAGGCACTGTTGGGACAAAGCACTGGACAAACAGTGCCCCATGGCACTTGCATTCCAGAAGAGGTGGCGATCTGGGGAGGCCGACCGAGGCTCCACCAAGGCACTGGACACCTCTTCTGCCATCCTCCCCAGCCAAACGGACTGACTCTGAACCTGATGCATTCAGACAACTGGAGAATCTTGAGAGGGAGGGAGGGAGCAGTGTGGGTAATACCTGGATACTGTCTGGCAACAAGTTCTGTAGGGAGGGAAAGGAGTGTGAAACTCATTTCTACGTCATTGCAATCACAAAGATCAAAGTAAGGTGAGGTTCAGAGAGGAGAAACGTCCCTAATAAAACACTCACTCACCGGTTTTTGGAGTCGTCCAGCAATGTATAAGTTATTCCAGTTGAGGAGATCTTCAATCAAAACACTAGTGCTAATAATGCCATATTTGATAAGCTGGAAAAGAAAAGAAATGGGCATGAAAAATAGCAAAATACCACACTGATGCTTATGCAAGTACAAAACATAAAGAAATAAAATGAATTTCTGACCAGAGCAGAAGCTCCATTTCCAAAGCCACTCAAACTGCCTACCTCGTAAAAATACACATCTCCACAAAACCTTTTGCAAAGGATTAGTTTCCAAGACTGTGTGTTTCCTCAGGTATTCGAGGTGAAGTGACCACTGTTTTAACTCAGGCTCTCGTGACGGTCCTTCACCACAGACACTTCAAGAAGTGATAACATAGTTCACGTTTCTCACTTGAGAAATAAGAAACCTGAAGCTCGGAGAGAACAGATGATGTGCCCAAGATGGTACCACATATAGCAGAGTTAAACCAGGTCCCTGAATTTCAGTCTGGGCTTCCAACGTTTGCTTCATGACAAAGCACAAGAAATTTTCTTTAACGTTTTCACTGACATCCTTTACATGGTGAAGTTCTCTTTCACTATAGGCTATTTCAAACACTTTTATAATCACAAAGCAACATTCAAAAATAAAACCTCTTTATCAGTGCTGAACACATGGAATTATGGTCAAGCTCATTTCAATAGTAATTCACACAAACCCTGAATGCAGTTGTTCCAGGTTATGAAATCCCATTTGCTTCAACAAATATCTTCAGACTCACTTCACTGAACTTCAGTACCCAAACAGCCTTCTCAGGCTGCAAATATCTACAAAGTAGCTAAAGAATTTCAATTAAAAAGTACAGTCCCTTTGGCACATAATTATGCCCAAACATTGGGTTACTGGAGCTTGTAATATGATTTGAAACTACTAATTACAGATCGGCTCAGCATAATATTAATATGGAGAAAGAACACAGCTACGCGTCTGGCAGGACTAGAGTGGATGTGCGACGTTGCGCTGAATAACCTTCTTCCCTCCACTCTGGCCACAGTATTGCAGACAGCCCTTCTTGCTGCAGGTGTGTAACAGCTGGGAGGTAATGGGAACATCACAGGGGCCTGTCACTAACTAGCTGCAAGACCTTAGGGAGGTCATTTCCTCTCTCTGAACCTTGGTTTCCTCATCTGCGAACCACAGGTGGTGTCGGGTGGGACCTTAACCAGAAAAGTAAACGTATGGCCCAAAGACGTCACCAATCAACCACAGCACTCATTCCTGCCACGTTCAGATAGGTCTTCAAAATCCTTCTCAAGTCAGTACTCCAACCTCCTGTCCTTCAAAGTGTGGTCCATTGACCAGTAGCACCAGCATCACCAGATGCAGAATACCAGGCTCCATTCCAGACCAAATGAATCAGAATCTGCATTTCAAAAGGAGCCTCAGGTGACTCGTCTGCACATCAAAGGATGACTGCTCTAAGCCATCAGCAGCACGGAGCAAAGCTGGCACAGCAGAGTCACCCTCAGCCCAGCTGACCTCTAGGAGGCATCTGACTCAGTTCCCCATTGGTCCTCTCAGACTGGGGTCCTGCCTAGTTCCGGGAAGCCCTTTTAGAGCCTGGGCCCTCCATATGAAAGACGGCTGGGCAGGGTTCCCGCTGTCACACAACCCTCTGCTGGGATCGGGGTTCTCACCTGCTCTCCAATACCCCTCATCAAATTCCACCCACCCGATGGCAACAAGAGGCACCATATGCTCCCATCTACCTATGAAACCCTCTCCTATGATACCCTCTCCACTTCCAACTTCTTTCTGGGAGTGTCTGCCCCTCTGTATGTAGATAAGATTAATTTCCACCCTGATCCACAGTGGGTCCGCCTATTCCTCCCACTGCCCAAACCAGTGGCTCTCAAAGTTTGTTTCAGACCAGTAGCATGAGCAACATTTGAAAGCTTGTTAGAAATGCAAATCTTTGTTGCTAAGAGAGTAAACCTTAAAAGTTCTCATCACCAGAAAAAAAAAACAATTGTAAATACATGTGGTGATGGATGTTACCTAGACTTACTGTGGGTAATCATCTCACTATATATATATATATATATCTCAAATCATTATGTTGCACACCTAAAACTACTACAATGTTATATGACAATTACCGCTCAGTTTTTAAAAAATGCAAATCCTCAAACCCTTACCCCAGACCTACTGAATCAGGAACTCTGGGGGTGGGAACCAGCAATCTGTGTGTCCTACAGGCACTCCAGGTGATTCTGATGCACACTAAAATTTGAGAACCAAAAAAATTTGGCCAAAGGCAAAAAATAAGAACAGTCACATTCACCACCTTCATCCAGCAAAAGTGTGAACATTTCCTAACTGTAAGAACACATCTATTTAGCTGGTATTCTATTAACAAAGGTTAATAACCACCCAAGTTAGGACAAAGGCCCGCAGTCACTTACCCTCCCATCACACATGATCAATGGGTTGTAGTAAACCCCGGCGCCGTAGTTATTCTGGACAGTGGTGATAAACCTGGGCCCCAAAACTTTTAGGAACGAGTAATGGTTCCAATTTTTCTTCAGGTTTTTTGAATGCCATGCAACAGGGTCATCGACTGTGAACACGAAGTCCAGCATGGCGTTCTGGGAGGTGAAGAAAAGAGAATAATTTTAGTTTTAATTCCTAGAAAGGCACCTAGGCAGAGTGGAAAGCTCTAAGACTCTATGCTGCTGTGATTAACAGCAGACCCAGGGCTGTCATCAGAAACTTAGGCAAGTCTCTGGAACCTATCTGAGCTTCGTTTTTGTCAACTCACATAATAACAGTAACACTTATTGAAGTGATGTTCCAGACCTCTTTTAAACACTTTATATATTATACATATAGTAACTCTTTTTAGCCTCAAACCAATCCTACAAGGTAGGTACTGTCATTATCCCATTTTTATAGGAAAGGAAAACCAAGGCACAGAGTAAGTTCCTTGCCCAAGGACACATGCTACTGAGTGACAGACATAATCTGGTCCCAAATTCTGTGCTGGACCACTTGGCCACACTGTCTTTCATCTAAATCTAGCTAAACGTGCTCTACTTTTCTCCCAGATCAAATAACACCATGTGGACAAGCTCTATAAAGTGTTATGTAAAGGGAAATAAGTTATTTTAACTCTCACCCATTTGCCAACCCCTCACTGAGCACCTACGATGAGCTCTGATAGGTCCTGGGATAGAGGTAAAGACCTCAAAGTCTACTGGGGAGAATAGACAGGTTGCTAGCAAAAACTTGGTAGGAGAACACAAAACGCACTAACTTCACTCAGAGTGGGGTCAGAGAAGAAGGAGGAATTTTCCTACAGGTTTATATTCTTCCAGACTCTGATAAGTCTGAGTCTTAAAAGAATGTGCAAGAGTTCAGCAGGCTTGGTGAAGTACTAGGAGGCCTGAGGAAGGGAGGGAGTACTGTTAGAGGAAAACACTCTTGTGGAGATGAGAGCTGGTAGGACTGGAATGCGACGCGGGCAGGGGAGTGGCGGGAGATGGGACCAGAGAGGGAGGCTGGTTACCATGCTAATGTTCCTGCAGTAGAAAGGGAGGAGGAGAGACTAAAGGATGGAACACCACACGAGGCTAACTGCCACTAAGGCACTGAGGGCAGGGGCTCATCTGGGAGAGACTTAGGTGCTGGAGTTTACTTGTTAACTTGTAGGGAATGAGGGTGAGGGAAAATGAAGGACCTTTTCTTGGAGGGAATTCCAGGTCTGCTCAAAGGAAAATCTACACAGGAAAATGAAGAGGCGGCTAGAGAATCAGGAGGCCAAGGCCTGTTCTGAGTTTCCCACAGTGTGATCCACAAACCAGTGGTGATACTTAAGATGTGGGGTGGACACGTTTTTTAAAAATTTATGTTAATTTATGTTACAAGAAAATAACTAGCCTATTGCAAACTACAATTAGGTTGCCCAACCTATATGCCCCAAATCTGTAATTTCTCATATGCTCTCAATTTAAAGAAAACTATTACTTAAATACTAGTACAGGTGGGAAACAGGAAATCCAAGCAACAGTACAGACGGCCTCACCAGGAAGCGAAGAGACGAAGGTTAACTGAAAGACAGATTACAGCCAGGTGTCCAGATCCACGAGGCCCTATTGCAAACTGCACACTACCATTGCCTTCATTTATTAAAGAAACCCAGTCCAGAACACGAGCTGTACAGACAGAAAACACCTCCATCTAGACTCCCGCTCCTTTTACATTAATTCAGCAAGAGCTCAAAGGCTGTATCAAAGTCAATTAAAAGCCTCATTTAAATGGAAAATACCTGCCTGCCACTTGTCTGCTATGTCTTGAATCTTGTCGCCACCTTGGAAGCAAAGTTTTTTTTCCAGTCGCAGAAGAAAAAAAAAAAAAAACTGCAATCACAAGGAAAACTGTACCCTCACTACTGTTGTGCTCAGCCAACTCTGAAGAGAACAATGCGTAGCCTTAAACAGACTCCCGTTACAAGTCCCGAGCAGGGGCAATTATACTGCTCATCACTAACTTCTGCGGTCAGTTAACGTCACTGCACATGCCCTGACCCTACAATCACTCCGTCAGCTTCCCAAAGTCAGGAGAATCATTTTGTATTTTCTCCTACAACCGGAGACGTGATTCTCAAGCTTGGCTGCGTGGTAGAATCACCTGGGAAGTTTTTAAAATTCCTGAAGCCCAGGCTCATCTCAGACCAATTAAATCTCAATCTCCGCAGTTGGAACCCAGATATCAGTATTTTTTTAAGCTTCCCAGAAAACTCCAATGTTCGGCCGAGGCTGGGAGCACTGAACTAGCTCCTGGCAAATATTTCTCTTCCTTTCTTCCATCTTGTCCCCGCATCAGCTCTTCCCTCCGCATGACTGCACCTCCCGCTCTAGACCTAAGCTGACTCCTACGTACCCTTCAAAACTCAGCTGACGCTGTCGTTCTACTAGGAGCACTTTTGTACGGCTTGTACTTTGCCAGTTGATACGTGGAGTGCGCAGAGCAAACAGGTAGCTCTACGGCTCTGGAGGGACCGAAGGCAAAGGGAACTCGTGAGAACATTCCCGGCGTGGGGCCGACCCGGGCTCACCTTCTGGTCTGAGCTGGGCCCCGCCTGGCGGTACACCCCCGAGCCGTAGGCGAAAGCCAGGCTCAACTCCTCGGGGAAGTGACACAGGATCTTGCGAAAGGCCACCCCCGAGCTCTGCAAAGCCTGCAGAGCCATGGGGCCGGGGCTCTGACAGGGACCCGTGGAGGGCAGCAGGCGGGGAACGAGTACCCGCTGAGGGTGGGAGATGGAAGCCGGGGACCGGCCCAGACGGGAGAAGGCTGGAGCCGGGGGCGGGGAGTGGAAGACCCGGCGGCGGGGAGTGGAAGACCCGGCAAGGACTCGGGGCTGCAGACCAGTCAGACACGAGGCTGGTCCGAACCCAACAGGCAACCGGGTAGGCGTCTGCCTGCCCTGTCTAGCGCCCACCCTGGGCCACGCCTCCTGCACGCACACGTGCTCCGAAGGCGCAAGAGTAAGAGCAGGCACTCGCTCGCGAGCGGGGACGCGAGGCCTTCACAGAGATCCCTGGTGGTCGGAGGATCGCACTGCAGGCTGGCAGCCTGGGACAGTGACCTGAACATGAGTGGGGGAATGTAACAGCTGATTGAACTGCTTTTGAACCTTAAAAGTTCTCTTTTGGTCTCGCCTCAAACCACATTTTAATAAATGACTAGGAAATCATGCATGTAGTATTGCAGCTTCCCATCATCTTTCTGATGAGGTGAAATTCATATAACCTAAAATTGTACGCTTTACAATTCAGTGGCATTTACTGCATTCGCAACGTGTGTAACCATGTCTCTATGCAGCTCGAAAACTGCAGAAGATTTTGAAGGTTTAGGAAAACACAAATAAGATTAAAATCACCCCCAATCCCACCATCCAGAGATTATTACTTGTAAGAGTTTGCTGTGCCTTCTTGCCATTGAAGCCCTTTTCAGATCCGATAATGGGTATTAAAGTGTTCCATAAATGGTAAAAGCAAAAACAACAAAAAAAAACCTGCACCAAGGTTCTCTGATATTTGTATTTAATTTTAAGCATGGGGAGGAGTATTTGCCCCTTTGTTTTGTGGACTGGGCTCACAAAAGGGCACATTAAATGCAGTTTCTGGTGGAAACGGGACCCCAGGTGAAGAGCTCACCTCTTTGTGTATAACTAGAGAAACTTGCTCCAGGTCACAGGGCCATTCAGGATGTAGTTTGAGTCCCCAGACAGAGACTTTTCAGATACTCTTCCCTTCTTCCCTGATGCTCATGTCCTCTCAACAATAACAGAAGTAGTAATAGCTAAATTTGGGTAACGGTGATGCACTCACATGCATTTTTCACTGAGTTCCCTCTACTGCCTTGTGGGAGGATGTGATTGCCTTCATTTTACAGATGAAGCAGTTAAGCGTTAGAGAAAGCAACGTGCTTGGGATCACATCAGCTTGTGGCAAAACTGGAATGAAGAATCTGGCTCCATGTCCTACGACTCCACTCGGTTGTTGAAGGGTTTTGAGCAGGGACTTGTCAGGCTCAAACGTTAGCCTGGATCAGAGTGGGGAAAGAGAGGCAGGGAGACCAGTTAGGAAGCTGTTACCATAGTTTCATTGTGAATTAAGTTGCCTGGCCTGGGGTGATAGAGGCAGGGATGGGATTAATTCAATTTGAAAAATGATTATTGGAATTCAAACTCTGAGGTAAGTCAAGATGACTAGGAATGAAGCTTTGCAGGCACTCAGGGTCTATGGAGGAAACAGACAAGCAAACCCAGAATATAACATGAGGTGGTGAAGCTGGGTACCCAGTGCCCTGCAGGACCTATGATGAGGGAGCGTCAATCAGTTCTGGATGTGCAGGGAGAGACCAGAGGAGATTTTGCAGTGATGGCATTTGAGCCAGGCCTTAAAGGATGGGTAGGAGATTATCAAGCAGAAGACAGATGGGAGATTCTACCAAGGAAGGATCGATCTACAGGACAATAATAATAGGTGACAATTGTTTATTTTCTATTCCAAGCATTCTCTATACTTATCTATTCTCTTCATTCCAAAGACCCCTGAGGCAGGTTCTCTTAGACTATCATCTTTCACAAGAGGAAACAGACCACCTAAGAGGAGAAGCAGATTTCCCCAGTCCCACAGTTAGGAGCATGGCGAAGTCAGGATTTGAACCCAGGGCTCCTGAGCTCCAAAGGCCGAGCTCTTTACCACCTTGTTTCAGAGCCTTCTAAAGCGGCCACCTTGTGGGCTTCCCTGGTGGTGCGGTGGCTGAGAGTCCGCCTGCCGATACAGGGGACGCGGGTTCGTGTCCCGGTACGGGAATATCCCACATGTCGTGGAGCGGCTGGGCCCGTGAGCCATGGCCGCTGAGCCTGCGCGTCCGGAGCCTGTGCTCCGCGAAGGGAGAGGCCACAGCAGTGAGAGGCCCGCGTACCGCAAAAAAAAGAAAAAAGAAAAAAAAAAAAAAAAAAGGAAAGAAAAAGAAATAAAGTGGGCACCTTGTGAGGCAAGGGAAGGGAATGGGAAACCAGCTGGTTTTACTCCATCAACCAAGGTTGAGGAGCAGCTGCCATGGCCACCACAAGGCCAGAAAGAGGATGGCAGAAGGGAGACACAGTGCAGCTCAGTCTCCTTCTGGGAACACAGGCATTTTGGTTCATTCTGACTAAACACTACCCTTGCCCAGATGGCCAGAATCTGGGATGCACTCACCGTGGAATTACACTGACACCTTTCACCTAAAGATAGTGAATAAATCTCTGCAGGCATACTTCTTTTTTTTTCTTTCCTCCCTTGAGGAAATAATTCAGCCTATTTTATTTCCCCCTCTCTTCGCAAAAGTAATCCATACTCATAAAAATGTAAACATTACAAAAATCTGGATACCATCCGCCGGAGATCGCCACTGGTAATCTTTGGTACATATTCCTCAACATAATTTTCTATGAATATATTAACATTAAAAACATTTTAAAATGGAAGCACATGATAGATACTCTTTTGCAATTTGCTTTTTTTCATTTAAAATATCACAGACACCTTTCCATATCAGAATATGTAGATCTATCTCATTCCATTTATTAGCAAAAGTTTCTAAAATATGGATATGCCATCCTTTGTTTAAACATTTTCATGTTGATAGATATAGATTATTGCCATTTTTTTGTACATGCAAACAATGCTACAGTGAACATCCTTTTACATAGAGCTTTGGAATATATGCAAGTATTGCTAAAAAGGAGATTCCTAGAAGGGGACTTGCTGGGTCAAAGTGTCAGGACATTGCTAAAGTCCCCTCCAAAAAATTGTACCAATTTCCACTCCCACCAGTGGAGTTCAGCCCTGGATATAAATAAAGATTCTGCAACGTTTCTCCGTTTTTTTCCCTTGCAGGCTTTCACACGTAATTATCAGTAATTTTCGTTTCCATAAACACTTTCCTTCCTGATAATGCAAAACACCAACTGGAAAGTTCCATCACGTTCCTGTGTGCATTTCGCCTCTCCCCAGAATGAGGCAGAAGCAATGTAGCAAGAACACATTTGTATTCTTCATCAGAATTCTCCCTGCTCCTAGCAGCTCATCCACTTCCTTTTAAATTACCGTGGCTTGCTAAGTTAGAAGCTATTAAGAAGCTCCAGTGTTCTATATAATCGCTTTAGGGTTCTATTGGAACTCTCATAACCAATGAAATAAAAGCATTAGGAGCCATTTTAAAATATAGATAAATGCCACTTGACTGCACGTTGGATCTCATTTTCCTGATTTATCCCGCTGTTGGCTTTGTGCTCCTTAACAATGACCAAGTCAGGCTAGGTTTCACCAAGAGAATGTTCACCTATTCCATTTTCTAAAAAACCCTATGAAATCTCTGAAACTTTTATGCCTCAGTTTTTCTTCTAATCAGTGTTTAAGTAAAAGGCATAAAGTGTTTGGGAAAAGAAACTTCAGGTACTGTGATCCTTACAATTAACCAAATTTTCAGTTGACCTGCTAACGGACGTAAAGGAGAAATGTCTTGATCTGTCTCATCAGAGGTGGGTCACCTGCCACATCTGTCCATCCTCAGCTGACGGATGTGTCAAAACTGGGCCAGATTGAGAGCATCTTTAATACATTTTTAGTCTCTCATCGGGGCGCTGAGAGACCACCTGAGTTTGAATCAGGGCCCCAGGAGTTAATAGCTGTGTGACCTTGAGCAAGACAGCTGAAGATCTCTATGCCTTCTTTTCCTCATTTGTAGGATGGTCATGCAAATAATACCTACCTTTTAGCATCGTTGGGACAGCCAATGAAATAGTATCCAGAAAGTGCCTGCCACAGAGCAAGCTCTCAGTAAATGTTCTCCGTCGTGTTGGATTCTGAAGAGACCATGTACAAGAGGAATTAAGAAGCGTAAGAATACCTAGTATCTTCGTGGCACTTAGCATTTCGCACAGAGAACTTTTCCAGACATGGTTTTATTTAATTCTTAAAACAAACCCTGGGAAATTAGTGTTTACTAGTCCAATTTTACAGATGGATAAATTGAAGTGTAGAATAATGAAGTCATTTGCTTGAAGTCCCAACAGAGTGCCAAATCTAATTCTTTTCCTCTTGTACCATAAAAATAACACAAACCGTTTATTTTCCCAAGGGATTCATTCATTCATTCATTCTCCCATTGAAATCTTCCTCTTCCTCAGTTCAAATATCACCCCCTTCTAATCAGAAGTAACTGTTCTGTCCTCCATGCCCACGTGTAACCCTTTGCTTATAGCTCTCCAGCCCTGGTCTTTAATACGAAATGTGTCCATCAAGAACAGTTATAAAAGGCTTGGGGACTCTCCGAGGTCAGGGGCCATATCTTATTCATATTTCTATCCTTTAGTACCTAGCACAGTGCCTGAAACAAAATTTCTGCAATTGAGAACGTCATAGACATGTATACAAACCAATTACAGTGAAATACAGAGATGGTCTGTACCATACCTGTGGTAAGACAGCTCTTCAAGGATTCTGGGAAAGCTTCTTGGCACTGTGTTTTCCAATGAAGTTCTGGAAGATCACACTCTTACAGTACTAAAGAAATGAATGAATAATAGTAGAATTTCAGGGAACAGAACAGGTGTCTCATCTGAGAGGTAGTATAATACAGTGGTCAAGAGTATGGACCCTGGATCCAGACTGCCTGGTTTGAATCCTAGCTCAGCCACATATTATCTGTGTGACCTTGGGCAAGTAGCTCAGTGCCTCAGTTTTCACATGTATAAAATGGGGATAATAGTAGTGCTTACTTCACTGGGTTGTCACAATGAGTAAACTCGTTAACATACATAAAGTGCTTAGAAGAACACTTGACATGTAGTGAATACTATGTATGCATTTGCCATTATTATTATTATCATCATCATCATCATCATATACTGTCCCTGAATTTCAA